ATAATAGCCATATAATATAAAAATGGTCATTTAGGTAGTATACTGTTATTCACAGAGGTATAGTTACTGATTATCAGTCCATGCTGTAGATTCTAACAGAATGTTACCAACCATTAAGCTTTTTCATGATAAACAATCATCTTTTCAGTTATGTGAATTAACAGAATAGATATAGTGTATTAGAAAATGACAGCAGCAGATGTTTGAGTTCCTGTACCTTTGTAAGAATATTGTATTATTTGTACTGCTACTACTAGTAATCACATGAAACCAAATGACAGAACGGTTTTTGCAATTTCAGGCGTAACAGGTAGGTAGGTATATATATATATATATATATATATATATATATATATATATATATAAAATCGCAGCTCTGCAGCCTTCACTCTACTGTTCTTGTACATAGTCTAATATACTAGCACTGTTTCCATGGGGATGTTCTGCTTCAATTGTTCAGGTCTGGGTTAATGCACAGAGAATGTTCAGGTTGACAGGTACATGTATCTATTTTCTTTGTCTGTATGTACTTTAAAAAGCTACATTTGTACTCCAAGATTCCAGAATCTCCCATTCAGTACCCTCATTGACTCTTTTCACTGTGTGCATTCTCTAGTGATTTCTATATACATTTAAAAGGGCAAACAAACAAAACAAAACAACAGTGTGGATTTACCTTCAAAATAAAATGTAACGTTTCAGCTGCTTTGTTACAAAAATGTATTTTAATTGAACAGTTCAGGTTAAAGCGGAACTACGGTTTTTAAATAAAATTTCATCCTGTTAAGATCTACTGTCATAGGGACAAACTTCTGAACTCAGTGGAAAATAAAAAACTTCATACAGACATTTATTCTTGTTTAGGTGCCACCAGTCATGTTACTTTGCATTTTTAGCTCTGTTCACAGACTTCCAGATAGCAGGAGGATTAGATTGTACACGCAGGGGTATGGCCTTGTAAATAATAATGAGCATCGCTGTATTTTTAGTTCTTCTGAATATATGCATGCAGACTGCCGAGTATGCAGAGAACCGTACAGTTAATTAATTAATACAATCTGGATTGATACATTTCTTGATATTATGGAAAATCAAAAAGCAATGAATTACCAATTCTCTTGATTTATTCCCTCGTGATACAGAGCCTACAGTATACGTCAAGCCAAAACAATTTTTCTAGGTTTTGATTCAGTGGGAGCTTAGAACCTCTATTGGGGTTTACTGTTATCTGGGGTTCTATTAAAAAGGTGAGACAGCAAGTGAGGGAAAATCTGCAACAGGGAAACAGACAGAAACAAAAATCTGACAGAGGTTCTAGCCCTCTCGCAATAACTGTATATTGATTGGTTTATAAGAAAGTTATAGCATCTACCAACTATGGTATATATACTGGATGTTTTAATTTATTTTTTATACTAGTAATGGCAGTGATCATCAGCTTATAGTGGGACTGCGATAGTGCAGCGGGCAATCTGACACTAACAATGGGTGGGAGGTAGACTAGCTGACTAACTCACACTGGCATCACCAGTGACATTAATACAGTGATCATTGATAATACTATACACTGCCACTGTACTAATGCCACTGGCTGGGAAGAGGTTAACATCTCGGGGTAATCAAAGGGTTAAGTGTGTGTTTAACAAGTGTTACGTGTGTAATATGTGTTGCTTTTTACAAAAAAAAACAGTTTGTTCTTTTTCCCTGCTTCTCCCTCTGTACAGAATCTGGGCTGTGATTGGACACAGCCAATCAGCAGGTTTCAGCCATGAATCATTGGCTGAAACATGCTGACAAAATCCCGTTGTGTCCAGTCACAACGGGAGTAGGCGCTTGGTCGCTCTGTGCACCCTGAACCCTGAAGAAGGTGCCAACGTACAGGTTGGCAAGTGGCTAAGGTAAAGATAACCATTGACTTCTTTAAATTGGGGCTACCAGGACTATTTATAGAACTAAGGGCGAGTTGTATTTCATTTATATGTACAAGATGTAAAAAGCACACATAGATATACAATATATTCCACTGCAGTGAAGAAAAAAACATTCAGATATCATTAGAATTAATTTATCAGAGAGCTTTGGGTGGTTTACATAGGAATTTGTGTAACTGGACAGACTACATAAACCTTTAATATACTAAAGGTTTAAGATAATTTAATACCATGCACTATGCTGTGATGTAAACTATAGTTTTGGGATGTTATCAAAGTATATACTTTTATCATCTCCAACTTGGACAGCACAAGGACTTTAGGTTATCAATTATGCATTGCAGTGCTAGGGTCCAGCTAAACCGACCGGGGCACTACCTGCTTGTAGTTTGCATGTTCTTGCCTGTGCTTGCTGATTCTCCCTGTGTACTCTGGTTTCCTCCCACATCCAAAAACATTCTGCTAGGTAAATTGACCCTACCAGCATGGGCTTTTAAGCTCCTTAAGGGTACGGACTGATGTGAATGTAGACTGCTGCTAAAATTTTGCTGCAGTATAAACACCTGTAATAAATATAATATACCCCGTTTTAAAATTAGTGTTTACTAAGTACATCCTTGACATAGAAATGTTATTAGGATTACCTTCTTGCATAGATGATTTCCATCTCATTGGATGCAGGCGCTGTTCAATCAAGAGTTTTCTGCCCAGCTTCCTCAATAAAAGTTGGTTGAAAAATTGGCTTTTGACAAGACGGGCTGTGCCAACAGGGCCATCCATGGAATTCATTATGGCTGATTCTGCAGGAAATGGATAGGATACAATTTGTTTATAACCAACTTAACACACACCACCATACAACTTATTCCAAAGAAGGTTGGTGATAAGTAGAGAAGAGTGTGTGGCCAGTGCCTAACCCCATCCTACACTTTAAGAAGGCAAACTGTGGTGGGGAAGGGGTTAGAATGCCTGTAAGGTGTTTTTTTAGTGCTGTCAGTGTGTCCTCTGGGTAAATTCCCCCACTCCATTTGCCCTTGTGACCATTGTTACTGAGACAGAAAGTGATGGGAAATCCAAAATGTCAGAGTTGATACCAGCAAATGAAGAAAAATCCTAGGATTAGGACACCTGTTCCTTTTGAAAACTCTCTAACCTTGATTTTAGAAGAAAATAAACAATTTTACAAATAGCACACTCCTAGACATCTGACACAAATGTCTGAATAATCAGTATTACATTTCAAGTGCCATCTCTGACAGAGGAAGAGTACAAACAGCGGCAATGCAGCTTTTATTTATTTATTCTAGATATTTGGTTTTGAGAACAGCTGGCCAGGAATAACACAATCTTCATAAGGGGTGAAAAAAGAAGATGGGCCACATCTGTTGCATTTCATCCAATGCTTCAATTTATGGACAGGGACTCCTGCTTAGATGAAAGGCTTCTCTAGTACCTTGCAAACTTTTGAAATAAGACTGTTGACAAAAGTTATGTTTGACTCTAATAACAGATCGCTCCCTAAGAGACAGGATTTACTGAATAAACACAATTACTGACCACTTGTCATGAAAAGCAAGAAATAATTAGTTTTACCCTATATTTATTTGCTCTGCAAACTGAGTGCTGGCCATGAACATTGAAAGACAATGCATCAAACTGTACTATGATCACAATTTATAAAGCTGATCTAATTATTCTTTCTTGAGCTGCTCATGTGTAAGTATATAATTAGCTGAAACCTATGAGGCTTGCAAACGGATACAGTTTTGTGTTTTCTTTTTATTTCTGTGTCCTCTCTGGGAATTTTACCCCTTACTTCCTGATCTTTGGGCACAGCATTAAAAACATGACAAAGCTTCTAAAAATTTTCCCAATTTACCAAAAAGAAAATATAATACAGATGCAAGCCAAACAGGAAATCAGTTAGATACTTTTTTCTGTTTATAGAGTGAGGCGGTATTTATGTGTGATATTAGGCCTTTTCCACTCACAATCTCCAAGTCTTCAATTAGGTGACTTAGATTTGTTGTTGCAAACAAGATATACCATTATAATTATTTAACCACTTGTCCTCCAGAGGATTTACCCCCCACCCCCTCCCTGACGTGGCCATTTTTTGCGATCCAGTGCTGCATTACTTTAACTGACAATTACGCGGTCATACAACGCTGCATTCAAATGAAATTTATGTCCTTTTTCCCACACAAATAGAGTTTTCTTTCAGTGGTATTTGATCACCTCTGTGTTTTTTATTTTTTCGCTATGAAAAAAAAGACAGTCAATTTTGAAGAAAAAAAAAAAACGATATCTTTGACTTTTTGCTATAAAACATATGCAATAAAAAAAAAATCAAGAATCAAATTTTGTCAGACATTTAGGCCAAAATGTACATGTCTTTGCTAAAAAAAATCTGAATACGTGTAAATTAATTGGTTTACATGAAAGTTATAGCGTCTACAAATGGTGGTATATATACTGGAGTTTTTTGTTTTTAATCTTTTTATACTAGTAATGGCAGCGATCAGTGACTTACAGCTGATCAACTACAAATGAGGCGGGCATTCAGACACTGGGAGGGAACTGACTAACTGCCACTGACATCCCCAGTGACACTAATACAGTGATCAGTGCTAACAAAAAGCACTGACACTGTACTAATGAGACTGGGCAGGAAGGGGTTAACTTTTGAGCGATCAAAGGGTTAACTGTGTGCTGTGTGTATTACTATCTGTGCTGTGTGCTGTTTTACTAGGAAGGCATGTTATTTTGTATCTCCATGCTGTGCAGAGAGATACAAAACAGCATGTGCATGCTGACAGGGGAGAGACCTGTGTTGTTTACACACAGGTCTCTCCCCTGTCAGCTTTACACAGTGATCACTGGCCGGGACCCAGTGATTGACATCCCTAGCTGCCAAAAGTGGCAGGGGAAGGGCCGCACGTGTGCCCCTACCTGGAAATGCAAGTCATGTATATATACGTGATTTTGCACAGCCCTGCTGCCCTGTAGAACTACTGCTACTATAGGGTGGCGGGCAAGCGGTTAAGGCACTATTTTTGCTCATTGCAGATGGCTTCAAGTGACAGCAACAATGAGGATGTCCCCAATAATCTCCAGCCTGGGGACCTGATTGAAATATTTCGACCAGCATATCAGCATTGGGCACTATACCTTGGCGATGGTTATGTCATCAATGTGGCACCATTGGGTAAGACTTTTTTTTCAGTGACCTGTTCCTATTTGCTTCTGTTGTCCAAGCTGATTACCGAAAGTGCAAAATGTTATCACTTTTAACTCTGAAGTTCACATATAGGCCTAGTTTACCCAATACTATTTACCTGATAAGCTTTGTTGGGCTCATTCACCTAGTGGTTGCTCATATTTCTCTGGAACAGCAGATATGACATTATCATTTACTAGTGCCCACCTATACACACACACACACACACACACACACACACAGTTTGATGCCCCATTTTGTTCTAGAGGATAGGGATATGATTGTCTAGTCCAGTCCTAGTTAGAGTGGATGTGATTTCACTTGACTTTTATTATTTGTATAATTTATGTATATGAATAATGTGGTTGAAGCAGTACCCACTTGATGGAGGTAACTCTGTATCTGAATTATTACAAAAGTAATGAACTGTCATTGTTTTACTTTTCAGTTTCTTTTATCAATATATAAAATTTACAAAAAACATGTCAAAATCGGTTTTGGTGATAATCTGTACACTCACTGGCCTCTTTATTAGGTATACCTTGTTATTTCCGGGTTGGACTCTCTTTTGCCTTCACAACTGCCTTAATTCTTCATGGCATAGATTAAATAAGATGTTGAGAACATTCCTCAGTTTTTTGTCCATATTGACATGAGTTACTGTTGTCTTTCTATCACCTCAAACCAGTCTACCCATTTTCCTCTGACCTCTGACATCAACAAGGTATTTTCATCCACACAACTGCCGCTTACTGGATATTTTCTCTTTTTCAGACCATTCTCTGTAAACCCCAGAGATGGCTGTACGTAAAAATCCCAGATCAGTAGTTTTTTAAATACTCGGCCCAGCCCGTCTGGTAACATCAACCATACCACATTCAAAGTCACTTAAATCCCCTTTCTTCTCCATTCTGATGCTCAGTTTGTACTTCAGCAAGTTGACTTCACCACATCTAGATGTCTAAATGCATTGAGTTGCTGCCATATGATTGGCTGATTAGCAATTTGTGTTACCAAGCAATTTAACAGGTGTACCTAGTAAAGTGGCCGGGGAGTGTATATTGCACAGTAAACTAAATGCTGTATACAGTATACCCTAATATACCCTACCAGTCAGCCCATTCGAATGTAATATGGTGAAATAGTTGTTTTACATTATCTTTTCATTGGTTTGTATGGGTGGGTGAGTGTAAGAACAATGTAGATATATTGTCCTGCTTCTTCAAGAGTCTGGGTGATATATATCTATATAACATGTCTTCTGGATACTAAACTGGAATTGTTCACATGCTATTCCAAGTAACCATGAATTCTAAAAAGTTTTAAAAGATGTCATCTGGACCAAATGTGCATGCTAGTCCATATACTTGGCCATAATGTCCATATATCAGGTGGTTTGATTTTATACCTTTTCAATAAACTATGGATATCTCAGGGCAATAAATCCCTTCAGGCTAGAGCACATTCAGCTAAATGACTTTAGTTTGCTGGGATAAAAAAGTATAAACAATTGTTATTGGTCTAGAATGGTGTCTCCAAACTATTGCCCCCCAAGCTGTTGATGAAGTATAAGTTCCATCATACCTCTGACTCTGGGAGTATTATTATGAATTTTGTAACATGATAAAAGAGATTGATAATGTGAAACAGCTATTTTTTACACTTTTCACTTGGAATGGGATGAATGATGGGGTATACTAGGGTATAATGTTTGCATGGAAGCATTTACTGTAGTTGACTGTGAAATACACGGATTAGGAACACAAATGATTTTGTGTATTATATGAATTGTGTATCATAATAAAAGAGACAATTTTGATATTTTAAATATATTGTCTATAATCTATCAAAGTAGCACCTGAAAAGTCCCGAGCCCATTTATTGTTGACTTCAAGGTATGGTATATAAGAAAACCTTGAACAAAACAAAAATATAAATTCCCTCTATTCTCTTAACTATCCCTTCATCCAAGTATTACTCACTCTCTATCTGTTTCTACTTGTCTTTCTTTATCACACCCACCTGCCATTATTTTTTGGTTTGACGTATATATACAGTAGAGAAAACCAACATGAACCGCTTTACTGTCACACCATAGCAGATGTACTGCTACAGGATGGCTCCGCTGTACAAAATCACATAAATATACATGATTTTGCACTGCTGGGTAGGGGGCACGTGAGTGCTGCTATTGGTAAATCACTGTATCCTGGCCGACCATTCCTGGCCGAGACTCGGTGATCATCGGCAAAGCTGAGAGGAGAGAGATCTGTGTGTAAACAACATAGGTCTCTGTCCTGTCAGCATGGATGTGCTGCTCCGTATCTCTCTGCACAGCAGCAGAGATACAAAGCAACTGGTCTCCTTAGTGGAACACAACACAGTTTACAATATAATCACTCCCTAACATACAGTAAACACTTCACCCCAGATCACCCCAGATGTTAACCCTTTCCTGCCCTGTGTCATTAGTACAGTGTCAGTGCCAGTGTTTTTTATTAGCATTGATCAATGTATTAGTGTCACTGCAGATGTCAGTTGCAGCTAGTCAATTCCCACCCAGTGTCAGAATGCCCACAGCAGTCCCACTAAAGGTTCCTGATCGCCTCAATTACTAGTATTAAAAAAAAAATCCAGTATATACTGCCATTTGTATACACTATAACTTTCACGTAAACCAATTAATATACACTTATTGGGATTTTTGTTTTAGCAAAGACATGTAGCAGAATACATTTTGGTCTAAATTTATGAAAAATTTTATTTTTTAAAAATTTTTTATTGGATATGTTTTATAGCTAAAAGTCAAAAATACTGGGGGGTTTTTTTCTCAAAATTGTCAGTTTTTTTTTTATTATAGCGCAAAAAACAAAAAACACAGAGGTGATAAAGCTCCACTGAAAGAAAGCTCTATTTGTGGGAAAAAAATTCATAAATTTTATTTATGTACAGCGTGGCATGACCACGTAATTGTCAGTTAAAGTAACAATTTCAAATAAGAAAGAGAATTTTTTGCAACCAGATGTTGTCATATTACCTATGAAATGCAACACATCCCATTCTTAAGCAGTCATGGATAACAGAAAACGGAAGCAGTGTGGCTACCATCTACATTTTACTGAATAGTGTTTTTTATTATATATTATAGATAGGTACTGTACTGTTTAACAGTGACATGTTGATACTTTCACTTGCAGAAGAGACCACCGCTGCTTCATTCTCAAGTGCAAAGTCTGTCTTCAGTAGAAAAGCCCTTGTGAAAATGCAGCTTCTGAAGGACGTTGTGGGAAATGACACTTACAAAGTGAACAACAAATATGATGACAAATATAGCCCACTTCCAGCCGAAGAAATAATCCAGCGTGCTGAAATTCTTATTGGCCAAGAAATATGTTATGATCTATTGGGGAATAATTGTGAGCATTTTGTGACACTTCTTCGCTATGGAGAAGCCGTGTCCGACCAGGTAATGTACTATTATCTTATCACAGACATACAGTAATATATGGGCAAAATTATGGAACAACCCAAAATATTGAGTTCAAGTGTTTCTGGTAAAGGGCTCTCTTAATTTTACAGTATACAAAGACATTTAGAGTGGGGTACACACTATAAGAAAATCAAACGTATGGCTGTCCAATTTTCCACGAAGGTGCGAATCTTGATGTAACCGACAATGGTATTAACTTGTACAAAAATCTACTTGATTATTTCCATATGATTACTGTACACATTGAGTGAAAATTGGACATTGTGTTCACGTACAATTAAACAATTTCTAGCTTGCACCTTTGTTTTTTTCAACTGAATAGTGGATTTAGCAGTCGAAAGCACTATACTAACAATCAGATAATTGACCGACCATTCCTCATATGAAATTTTCCTTCACATTTTCTAAAGTGTGTACCCAGCTTTAGAAAATTGTGCATTTATGGTAACAGTTAAAGGAAGATGCTTTTCTTATCCAGAACAATAAAGACATGATTTGATGGATTCGTTGTAGAGTTGTAGCCTTTATGAACACCTTTAGGATGAACTGGAACAGCAACTGTGAACCAGGTCTTCTCATTCAAATCAAAACTTGATCTCACAATTTAATTTTTGGCTGAATTGCAAGCTTCAAAACTGAACCCTATTGATATCTACAGTACATGGGGTAAATCTTGACAATAAATTGTAGGGATTGTCAAAAAGAAGACATGAGGATTTGGGCACAGCCATGGAATGCAATGCAATTCAAAAGAAAAATGTAAAAAATGCAGTAGGGAGAGGATTTTCCTTCTAATGCGACTTCAAGGCCGACATGAGAAAAACACTAATCCTCAAGGCCGACATGAGAAAAACACTAATCCTTACAATTATATGCTTGAGAGATACCTTTTAGGCTGTATGAAATGTTGTAGGCCAGCATGATTTTCACACACAGCGTCAGTGAAATTGTATTCAGGCATCACATACACTATATTACCAAAAGTATTGGGACGCCTGCCTTTGCACGCACATGAACTTTAATGGCATCCCAGTCTTGGTCTGTAGGGTTCAATATTGAGTTGGACCACCCTTTACAGCTATAACAGCTTCAACTCTTCTGGGAAGGCTGTCCACAAGGTTTAGGAGTGTGTCTATGGGAATATTTGACCATTCTTCCAGAAGCTCATTTATGAGGTCAGGCATTGATGTCAGACAAGAAAGCCTGGCTCTCAGTCTCCACTCTAATTCATCCCAAAGGTGTGATATTGGGTTGAGATCAGGACTCTGTGCAGGCCATTCAAGTTCCTCTACCCCAAACTCGCTCATCCATGTTTTTATAGACCTTGCTTTGTGCACTGGTGTGCAGTCATGTTGGAACCGATATGGGCCATCCCCAAACTGAACTGTTCCTACAAAGTTGGGAGCATGAAATTGTACAAAATGTATTTGTATGGTGACGCCTTAAGAGTTCCCTTCAGTGGAACAAAAAGTCCAATCTCAACCCCTGAAAAACAACCCCACACCATAATTCCCCCCCCCCGCCACACACACCAAACTTGGCACAATGCAATCAGGCAAGTACCGTTTTCCTGGCAACCGCTAAACCCAGACATGTCCATCAGATCTCCAGACAGAGAACCGTGATTCGTCACTCCAGAGAACATATCTCCACTGCTCTAGAGTCAAATGGCATGATTTTCACCACTGTATCCGATGCTGTGCATTGCACTTGGCAATGTAAGGCTTGGATGCAGCTGCTTAGCCATGGAAACCCATTCCATGAGGCTCTCTATGCACTGTTGTTATGCTAATCTGAAGGCCACATGGAGTTTGGAGGTCTTTAGGTATTGACTTTGCAGACAGTTAACAACTTCTGCGTACTGTGCGCTTCAGCATGCACTGACCCTGCTCTGTCATTTTACGAGGCCTACCACTTTGTGGCTGAGTTTCTGTTGTTCCCAGTTGCTTCCACTTTGTTATAATACCACTAACAGTGGACCGCGGAATATTTAGTAGCAAAGAAATTTCATGGATGGACTTATTGCACAGGTGGCAACCTATTACGTTACCACGCTTGAATTCATTTCATGCTTGAGTTCCTGAGAGTGACCCATTCTTTCACAAATGTTTGTAGAAGAAGTCTACATGCCTAGGTGCTTGATTTTTTACACCTGTGGCCATGGAGGTGATTGGAACACCCGAATCCAATGATTTGGAGGGGTGTCCCAATACTTTTGGCAATACGGTGTATTTTGGATGGGTAAATGCTGTTTTAACTTTTACTTGCTTGGCCTAAATACAGCAGTAGCAGTTCTGGTAGATTTGGCTGTGACATCTGAATTTGTTTCCAGTGGTAAGAGACCTTAAATGAACAGTGGAAGTAGCAATCACAACAGATTAAAAGATACAAGAGTTTTTTCCTAAAAAACATTGTAGAAATTGGCCAACAGTGCAACAGTTTAATAGCATGGTTTGTGAGTCTTGTTTTTTAACAGTACCACATTGCATTGCCTTAAAAGTTTAATAAAATATCAAAACAGGGTCCACAAAAACATTTCAAAACCACAAGCCACATTCTATGAGTCCCATTCCATCCAAGTATCCAATTATTTACACAATATTCAAAATAAAGACTTCAGGTATGTGTGCAGGTGAAATTGACTAAGTTGAAGGATAGTACGTGAGCTCTTGAATAGGCAGCAAATATAAAGACAAGAAAGTATTTATCTTTCAATAAAATTATCTGGAATTATATGAGAACTATATATAGTCACAGATATTGTTTATTGGGTAGACAGTTTGTAAGCTACTTAGTTATGCCATGATATAAAAATGAAATCTCTTGTTATATACATTAAAGTGTGTTTTTTCAAAAGCAATATCCACAGTAGCAAACAATATTGTACAATGACTAGACAGTGCAGCTCCAGATGACAGCAAGCATCAGCTGCCATCTGAAGCTGCAAAAAAAGTCCTACTCCTACCCACATAATCTAGTGGAAAGTTCCTAGTCTGGGTTGGCCCCAGATTGTAGCCTTTTTTGTTGATATTCTCACTTTTTAAAGTTTTTCTTTTTTTTACATTAGTTATATATTAACTTTTTTATCATTTTCACTTTTTTAAATTTTAAAATTTTTATTATTATTTTTGTCTCACAAGGTTGTCCCTGCCCTGGTCAAGCAAATCTAGCTGGCAAGGATAGCACAGTTGTAACTGTAATGTTTACAAGTGATCATATCCAGGGGTTACTGAGTGTCAAGGCTGTACCACTGGCTGGAGGGGGTACCAGCCTGTCTTGCTGCTCATGTCATTTCAGAGAGGAACTTTATCGCAGTAGGTGAAATTCGTGACTGGGAAGCTGAATGTAAACCTCTTCCCATCAGCATATATGCGGCCTTTGGTCAGTGGGTTTTAACAGGTGGGCTTTAACGCTGTTTAATTTATTGATGGGGATGGCAGTGCAGTGAATGCAGTATGTGTTTACATCTGTAAGCTCTCCGTTTCCCAAAAATGGAGGAACAGGAGGAAACAGAATGTAATAAATAAATTAATTATTTGTTCCTGAACACAGTAAATCATGGTAGAAGCAGCAGTTAAAGGCTAGCATTTTCATCTCCATTTTGTTTCTCTATGTGACCTGTATAATAACCCTTTACATAGAAACATTTACATAGAAACAGAGAAGAGTGACAGCATCAAAAAGACTAAGTGGTTCATTGAATTTGCCCAATTTTAGATCTATATTTGTCCCAAGCATGTTTGAACCCACTTATTGTTAACTGACTCTACCTCTGGTAGAAGTCTATTTCAAACATCAACTACTCTTTTGTAAAATAAAACTTTCTAAGATTAGTTTTGAGCTTTTCCTCCTGCTAGTTTGAGGTCATGAACTTAGCTTTATATTGAAAATATTGCCCTCCTGAAACTTACGCACCTTCTTGATGTATTTAACGTTTTTCAGTCATGTCTCCCCTTTCCCTTCTTTCCTCCAGATTGTACATATTTGGTTCCTGAAGTCTCTCCTGATATACAGTTGCAAGAAAAAGTATGTGAACCCCTTGGGATTACGTCGAGTTTTGCATGAATTGGGCATAAAATGTGCTCTGAACGTCATCTAAGTCACAACAATAGAAGAACACAGTCTGTTGAACATAATACTACACAAACATTAGATGTTTGCCATGGTTTAATTATACATAACATGTAAACATTCACAGTGCAGGGAGGAAAAAGTATGTGAACCTTTGGACTTAATAACTGGTTGACCTTCCTTTGGCAGCAATAACCTCAACCAAACGTTTCCTGTAGTTGCAGATCAGACCTGCACAACGATCTGGAGTAATTTTGGACCACTCCTCTTCACAAAACTGTTTCAGTGTAGCAATATTCTTGGGATGTCTGGTGTGAATCGCTCTCTTAAGGTCATGCCACAGCATTTCAATCGGGTTGAGGTCAGGACTCTGACTGGGCCACTCCAGAAGGCGTATTCTGTGCTGTTGCAGCCATTGTTTTGTTGAATTACTTGTATGCTTTGGGTCATTGTCCTGTTGCATCACACATCCTCTGCGGAGCTTCAGTTGGTGGACAGATGGTCGTACGTTTTCCTGCAAAATGTCTTGATAAACTAATTCATTTTCCCATCAATGACAACAATCCATCCAGGCCCTGAGGCAGCAAAGCAGCCCCAAACCATGATGCTGCCTTTTTTTCTCCACACATAGTGTTGTGTGTTCTTCCTAAACAACTCAATCTTGGTTTCATCTGTCCACAGTATATTTTGCCAGTAGTGCTGTGGAACATCCAGGTGCTCTTTTGCAAACTTCAAATGTGCTGCAATATTCTTTTTGGACAGCAATGGCTTCCTCCGTGGTGTCTTCCCATGTACTCCATTTTTGTTTAATGTTTTCATTATTGTAGATGTGTCAACAAAAATGTTAGCATGTGCCAGAGATTTCTGTAGGTCTTTAGCTGACACTCTGGGATTCTTCTTTACCTCATGCAGCATTCTGCGCTGAGCTCTTGCAGTCATTT